AGATTGAGAATATCTACCTGCGAAGTGAGCCTGTCGCTCAGGTGTTCGTCCACGGAGAAAGCTTGCAGGTGCGTGTGTTCCGGGGGGGGGGGGGGGGCAAGCCGTGTTGCACAGGTGGGCCCGGTGCCTCGGACTCCGGACGTTTGCAGTGCCGTGGAAAGTCTGCGATGAGCACTGAACTGCCTTTCACGTGTGACATGCTGGAATATCATTGGGGTTTGCTGCTTGGCATTTCTCATCCAGAAAAGTTTTTCTCTTTAAATTCCATATTTTTATCTTACCTAACTGGAGTGGTCTGGCATACCAAGGGGAGTTGAATAAAGATATTAGGGACTGCGTAAAATAGGCTTCTAATTTAAACTATGAAAGGAAATACTGATAGATTGATCATAAGAAAGTTGAGAATTTTCAACATATTAAACCCAACGTATTTATGCTGTGTCTCCTAAATCATGTTTGAGCAGTGGGGGTTGTGAGCCGGTATATACGTGAAGTTGAAAACCAAGGTCAGTATTGTAGTGTAACGTCTCTTTGCCAAAATATTGGGCAGATGGTGGCAAGGGAGAGAAAGTGGTCTGGTTTCCTGAAAGCTAATCTTTTTACAAATCTTAAGACTTTTAGATACTTGTAGAAGAATATTTTATTATCTTACAAGGAATGCACCTATTTTTCTTTGAGAGTATACCTGTTTTTCTTTGACCTAGAATCTTTCTTTTTTTAAGATTTTATTTATTTGACAGAGAGAGAGCACAGGCCAGGGGGCAGCAAAGGGAGAGGGAGAAGCAAGCTCCCAACTGAGCAAGGAGCCTGATGCAGGACTTGATTCCAGGACCCTGGGATCAAGACCTGAGCTGAAGGCAGATGCTTAACTGACTGAGCCACCCAGGCACCTCTCTTCGACCTAGAATCTTGACATGCCTTCGATTTTTATTTAGTTTTATTGTTACTAAATTGTAAAAAATGTGGCATTGGAGATCTAAAAACATCTGTATAAATTTTTTTCTCTCCTTTTAAAAGCAGTTACTTGATATCCATTATCTTGTCTGCTTATTTAACTGTTTTATTAAAAAATATATATATAAATATTTATGCAAAAGTAAATAAAAATTAGGGTTTTGTTAGGTTTTGATTCCTAGTGGTCCTTTTAAAACACTTAATTGCAAAATTCCTGATGCTTGTCTGTATTTTAGAGCCAGGAGCTCTTAACCTGGGCTCAGTAGACTCCTGGGGCTGGTAATATGTTCCAAAAAGAGGGTCTGTAACATCCATCAGATTCTCCTGTGGTCCATCATGCAGAATGATAAAGAATCTCTACTTCAGAACATCTGGATCAAGCCACGTAATAACTCACTTGTCTGTGTTAAAGGCATTTCTCATAGCAATTGTGGTACCAGATGTTGAGACATTATGTTTCTGGGCCCGAAAGAAAGGATTTGAAGGCTCCTTTGAGGAACTGTGCAGGAACAAGGTAAGGCTCGGGGAGTGTGTGGTCTGCCTCCTGTACCTTGGCTTGGCATCGAGCGTGCCTTCAGAGATCTCCAGCACAGCAAGCATGTTGTTTTCTCACCTTCCTAGGACGTCAAAAAAGCCATCCTGGAAGACATGGTGAGGCTTGGGAAGGAATCTGGCCTGAAACCATTTGAACAGGTGAGATTTGCATCACCGTGCACGCACCCCTACAGCACAGGTTTCTGACCTGAGGATTCTGTATGAATAGGTATGCAGCACGAGGGGACCTAAAGAAACCCATGAGGAATGAGTAAGGGCGAGCTTTGGCCAGGGGGGAGGATTTCTGTAACCAAGGGCAGGCACTCTCTTCCCCTGGAGGTCGGGGTCCAAGCCCAGATCCTGTCCTGGGAGCAGCCCCTGCCTTGTGTTGAGCGAGCCCACTGGCCCGAGTCCAAGGAGGGACTGGACCGGCCATGGGGTCTCCATCCCTTCCGACCCACGTGCTTTTAGGCCCAGGTTGATTCTGCCCTCGGTTTTTGTTTTGTTTTGTTTTTTGTTTTTGTTTTTTAAAGATTTTATTTATTTGACACACAGAGAGAGATAGCGAGAGAGAGAGAGAGAGGGAGAGAGCACAAGCAGGGGGAGCGGCAGGCAGAGGGAGAAGCAGGCTTCCCGCTGAGCAGGGAGCCCGATGTGGGGCTCGATCCCAGGACCCTGGGATCATGACCTGAGCTGAAGGCAGCGGTTTAACCAACTGAGGCACCCAGGCGCCCTCGGTTTTTGTTTTAATGGCCTCGTTTATTTGCAGGTCAAAGGCATTAGTCTCCACCCTGAATTATTTTCTATCGACAATGGCCTCCTGACCCCAACGATGAAGGCAAAACGGCCCGAGCTTCGGAATTATTTCAGGGCACAGATAGACGAACTTTATTCCACCATCAAAATTTAATGCCAGGAAAAAACCGCACCCCTCCTGCTGATGGCCTTCACGTTGGTAATTTTGACTAGAGCGCGCATAGGAAAGGGAGCGTCCACGTTTGACTTGTGCATTCGGGGTTCTCGTCATAAGAATTTTAGAGGACACGGAACACTGCCTTACGGTCACCTCCTGTTGCAGACCATGTATATGGTGATACACAATTTCCAAAATGAGCCTTAAAATCATAAAGGGGAAACGATCCACGTGCTAAGTTATTTGAGACTTCCTCCGTTTAAAAAAAAAAAAAAAAAAAAAGGGCGGGTGAAAACTTCTGTCTCCCGGTTTTCTAACCAAGGGATTAGGACTTTGCTATTTCCGAGATGTCTGCTACTTACTGCAGATTCTGCCGCTCTGCAAGGTACAGTGCACTGGAAGGAAGCTGTCCCTTCAAAGCAAGAACTGTCCCAGGTGGAGAACGTGGCAAGCGGGCCAGAGATTTTTTTAAACCCCCGTCTTCTCCCTTTCCCCACTTCACACGCGCTCCTATGAGCCTTCTGCTGCCGGGTCCCGGAGCGGCGCGTGCTTCTCAGTCCCTGTTGTGCTGTAGGAGCAGAAGGTTCCCGGGGACAGAGAGAACAGGTCCGATTCAGAACAGCACAGACGTCAGTCTCGGATGAATGGGCGCTCACCTGAGCGGGCGGCTTCTGGCGCCCTCGGAGCAGACTGATCTCAGACCCCCTTCTCCAGACCCGATTCCTGTCCCCCACCCCCCACCACCCCCTCCCAGGGGTTATTAAAAAATCTGCCTTAGACTCTGCAGTGAAGACAAGCATTTCAAGAAGGAAATAATTACCTGGATCGCCCATGTTCAACTGTGACGCCTGATGAACTGTCCCCTTTATCTCCGCTGAACCAGTCATTCTTTGTGATGGCCAACGGATTTTTAATGTGGTTTTCATATCAAAAGATTGTGTTGTGATTAAGTGGCTTTTTCCACCCCCAAATAAATTCTCAGGCAGGGCATGTCTTTAAACCTATTAAGGGAATAGATATACTTGGGTACTTATTGAAATGGACAGTAATAAGCCAATGCTCTTATAATGCTACCTGATTTTTATGAAATGTGTTTGACAAGCCAAAATTCTAGGAGGTAGAAATCTGGAAAACTCATTTTCTGGGATTAACATCTCAAGGGATTTTTTTTTTTTTAAAGAAAAGTTAATTTGGGAATTTAGCTGCATTTCACTTGAGTGCAAGTCTTTGCTACGTGTGACTGAATTAAGTTGTCATTTATACAAATTGAAAGCAGCTGGTTTTGGGTTTGTGAGAGTCCCGTGTATTATACAAGCACGACAGGGTTGACACCGAAGAACTGTCATCATAGTAACAGTATTTGGTAGCCTAACTTCATATGTGTGTTCTTCATTGCACAAAAAGTCAATAATTTGTCACCTTGGGGTTTTGAATGTTTGCTTTAAGTGTTGGCTATTTCTATGTTTTATAAACCAAAACAGAATTTCCAAAAACAATGAAGGAAACCAAAATAAATATTTCTGCATTTCAAGCGAGTGAAAGCCTCTCTTTTCATGACTGGGGTAGTGTTCGGGCCAGCCTTGGACCTGCGCGGGTACAGAGCAGGATGGGCCCTCGGTGGCAGCCCCGCCCTCCTGCCACTTCCCTGACCCCCACATAGGGTGACCTGGGGCCTCCGGCCGTGTTCTCTGGCAACAGCCCTGCTATGTTGTGCGGAAGAAACCATGGTGTGAATAATACGGATATTCTTGGAAATGCAAATTCTTTGCTGGGAATCTCTGTTTCCCTGGACATTGGCTGTAGGTGGCGGTTCTGTGGTGGATTTAATTCCGTGTATTTTAGTAATTCTCTTACTAAGCACTGTTTTAGAAGATGTCTCATTTGTAACAGCCAACTTTCTCTCTTTCCTTTTCCTCTGGTTTCCAGGCTACACTGTCATTGTAAAGATTTTCCTCTTCTGTAGGTGTTCAGCCCCCAGTTCCTTCTCTAGTCTGTGAGGTTGAAATCCACCTCCCTCCCTTAAAACTTGTGTTTGGTGTGGGGATGGTTGGTTTTTTCCTCTAAAGCCCAAGCCCTGTTCACATATCTCTGGTGAGGCTCCTAATCCATTCTGCCTTTGGCTTGAGCTAATAAATTCCTTATCTTGTCTGCCCTTGTTGTCTCCCCATTCTCTTCCTCTCCCCCTGAGTTGAGCAAGTGTGAGCGTCTTCACACTGGGCATGACCTTTCTTTTCCCTCCCTGAGCGCCCAACACGGCCTGCAAACCAGTAGGTGTTCATTAAATCTTATGTGAACAAATACTTGCAATTTTGAACAAAGCTTCTCTTGTAATGAGGTTGATCTTCATGCTGGGTTTTATCCTTTTTTTAAAAAAAAAAAAGGTGGTAAAACACACGTAAAATGTATCATCTTAATTATTTTTTTTTAAAGATTTTATTTATTGATTGGAGAGAGAGAGCATGAGTGAGGGGCAGAGGGAGAGGGAGAAGCAGGCTTCCCGCGGAGCAGGGAGGCCGACGCGGGGCTCGATCCCAGGACCCTGAAGGCAGACACTTAACTGACTGAGCCACCCAGGCGCCCCTCATCTTAATTATTTTTTTTTCAAGATTTTTTTAATTATTTATTTATTTGGGAGAGAGAGAATGAGAGACAGAGAGCACGAGAGGGAAGATGGTCAGAGGGAGAAGCAGACTCCCCGCCGAGCAGGGAGCCCTATGCGGGACTCGATCCCGGGACTCCAGGACCACGACCCGAGCCAAAGGCAGTCGCTGAACCAACTGAGCCACCCAGGCGCCCCTCATCTTAATTATTTTTAAGCACACCGTTCAGAGGCTTTAAGTGCATGCCACATTGTTTTGCAACCATCAGCACCATCTGTCCACAGAACTCTTCATCCTGTAAAACCGAAACTCTGCTCATCCATTCCCTCTCCCCAGCCCCTGGCAACCACCTTTGTCCTCACTGTGTCTGTGAATTCCACTGCAGGTAAATCCTACAGCCTGTCTGTCTTTGGGATTGGTGATCTCACTTATCATAATATCCTCCGGGTTCATCCATGTTGTAGCGCGGGTCAGGATTTCCTTCCTTTTTATTTTATTTTTATTTATTTTTTTGTTACAATAGTAAATTTTATTTAGTGCCAGGCCAATTTATTGTGCCAAGATTATATGTCCTTCATGACCAATTCAAAGTAATAACCTCTGGCCTTTTTGAAGGAGAATGGATACTCTTTGTTACACTCTTATTAATTCCCTTTGATCTTTTTATTTATTATGTTCGGTTAGCCAACATACAGTACATCATTAGTTTTTTTTAATAATTTTTTATTGTTATGTTAATCACCATACAGTACATCATTAGTTTTTGATGTAGTGTTCAACGATTCTTTAGTTGCGTGTTACACCCAGTGCTCATCACAACACGTGCCCTCCTGGATGCCCGTCACCTGATTTCCTTCCTTTTTAAGGCTGAATAATAGTCCGTTGTAGGCACAGACCACATTTTCTTTATTCTTTCATTTGTTGATGGACGTTTGAGTTGTTCGGACCTTTTAGCTATTGGGCATAATACTGCTGTGAACGCGGGTGCACAAATATCTGTTTTAGTCCCTGCTTTCAATTCTTTTGGGTATGTACCTAGAAGTGAAATTGCTGGATCATATATACAGTAATTCTGTGCTTAATCTGTTGAGGAATTGCCATCCTGTTTGCCCCAGTGGCTGCACCCCTTGACCTTCTCAAGAGCAATGCACAAGGGTTCCAGTTTCTCCACACCCTGTCTGTAGACGTCCTCTCTGGTTGGTTTCTGTGTTTGTGATAACACACATCCCAATGGGCGTGAAGTGGTATCTCGTGGTGGTTTTGCTTTGCATTTCTGTAATGATTAGTAAGGGTCAGCATCCTTTCCTGGGCTTACTGGTCATTTGTATATCTTCTTTGGAGAAGTGTCTCTGCAAGCCCTTTGCCTATTTTTACAGATAGGGTTATTTGTGCATTTTGTTGAGCTTTAGGCGTTCTTTATATATTCTGGATATTAATCCCTAAACACTGTCTCCGTTCTTAACTTCTGCAGTGCACTGTCTGGGGTCTGAGCCTGTACAACAGCAGTAAATATTTAGTGGCACTCTTCCCACAAATCAGACCACACCTCCAGAGCCCAGTGGTCTGTGTCTCAAACCTAGCTGGAACAGAAGAGGATGGCTGACTTGGAGTGAAGCAGTCTTTTCTTCTGTCCAGACCCCCTGCGTGTTAAGCTTCTCTCAGGAACAGCCAGAGAGCAGGCGTCTCCCCACAGACGAGGAGCGGGGATGCACGAGGAGTGAGGAGGCGTGAGCTAAAACCACAGTCGTCTCTCTGCGCTCAGAGCTCGTCCTGCCCCTCCCTGCAGGACCCCCGCCCCGTGACACACCCACATTCTAGATCCAAACTCAGAAAGGCAGCTTGTTTTCAAGGATATTTGGCATTTGGTAAATAGGTTTGCCTCCCACTTTTTCGATTACTTGGAAGAAGAAGAAGAACTGAAATGCATCCGATGTTGCCACACGCCAGGCGCTATTCTTAGCATTTTACCCAGATGACCCACTTTACGTTACAACTCTTCGAGCCAAATGCTACCACTGTCCCCATTTTACAACGAGGAAATTAAAGCACACACGTGATGGGATCAATGCCACACACCGGACAGAACGGAAGCTGGAACTGAGCTTCCAACCTCGTGCTATGGATGTTTCTTCTTGTCCACCTTTGGCCATGAACTTCTGACCAAACAGGTCGGTGGATTATTTCTCGGCCCTACCCGTTCTGCCTCTAAGCATCAGTACAAATGGTTTTGATTCCTATCCTACGATTGCTCTTTGTCCTAGCAGGGCCTGATACCACTTCCCAGAGTTTTGTTCTGGTTTTATGGCTTATCCAAAATTAAATATAATCGCTCTCTGTGATGTTGGTAACCCCAGATCCATCAAGGACTAAAAGTTTGGTAGAACGAGCCACTTTGTCTTAGAGGAGAGTGTGTGTGAGGCCATGTCGCAGGCATACAGCTGGTTCATGAGATCCCTCAGAAGCTGTTCTAGAAATCCTCAGGGATGGGGGTCCTGGCAGCTGTGGGATTATACTAGGGAGTACACTCCTGTGCTATGCTGTGTTTGTTCCTTACTTATGTCCCCATTCAGTCCTTATAGAGACCCATTAGGGGGTGAATCCACAATTTTGTGTTTACCATCAACAAACAAATGAGTTCAGATTGTGATGGCTGCTTTGAAAAAAACAACTGAGAAAGTGTTGGGGAGGGGACCACAGGGCCCGGTTTAAGTGTTGGGGTCAGAGAACGTCCCTTTGAGGAGGTGACACTTAACGGTGATGACCTGAAGAATGAGGAAGGGGAACCAGCCTCACAGGGTTTGGGGAAAGAGTTCAAAAAGCAGGATCGTGAGTGCAAAAGCCCTGAG